GTGGTTAGAAGAGATGACACTTGGTGGTGTCGTTGTTCCCCCTGCCCTCCACGACATAGATGAAGTTGTCGAGGTGGTCGTACAGGTCGGTAAGTCTTTCATAAATCTACATTTTAAGACCCGGGTGTCACCGCTCATTGATTCGTCGAGTAGGGCTTTAGAGAAAGTGAGAGGAACTTGCAACTCTGAGTAGTCGAGATTCTTGGGCTTAGAGGCATTCTCTATATCCCCTAATCTATCTCAAACGCTCTTCATATCCGTACCCATTACTTCCTTCAAAATAACCCGTAGCTCAGGTCGATTGTGAGGGTTCTCGTTTGGACCTTGGATTGCTGGCTCGACAGTTTATGTTTCTTTCTCTTGAGTGTTATCCTCTGATAGGATCTTTCATTGGTTTATGACTTTGAGGGCGCACCTCTGCTCAATGGGAGGTGGGGAGGATTCGCAAGTGTATGGCCATTCGGGTGGTCTGCCTCTTATCAAAAGGTGCTCTCTATCCTCTCGTTGGTCTGGCTGATCTACTCCAAGAGGTCAGTGTGCTTCTCCTAGAGGAGAGTGTTATGGGCATGGAGGAGGTTTCCCACCTCATTTGTTTCTCCAACTCTGCCAAAATGGCTTCCATCTTTTCCTCTAGATTGGCTAGCCTGGCCTTCTCTTATCTTCTCCTCCTCCCTCAAGGCCACAAGAGGAAGACCTTTTTCTCGTTCTCCTGCTCATCGTGATACTTAGGGGAGTGTGTATGATTGCCTGGCACGGGTCGTTTTTATGCTTGCTTGGTAGAAAAAACAACTAAATTGTATGTAGTTCCCACATACGGTGCAAAATTGTTATCCTAAAATATGGGAGGTTCACAAAGACCAAAATGATCAACCATTGGTGAGCTAGGGACAAAACTTTAATGACTGAACAATAAGGATTAAGTGGTTCCCTCTTAAAAATTGAGCTACATCCAATGAGGTGCTTAGATATACTGAATGAAGGTTAGAATGAAGGCATCTCTTTTTTTTCCTTGCGTCCAACCTTACATAAGAGATACTCACCCTTTACATACTATATAGGCCCTCAGTCAACCCCAAAATTCCTGGCCTCTAATACTCCACCGTATTCACATTTAAAGAACCAACTATGTAGACATGACTAGCTAGCTACTCCTTCATTCTATAGTCTACACATGGTAACAAATTAACATTCATTTAGGTCTAATTGCATGTTTTTCTGGGCCAACAAGTATCGAGTGCCTTGCTCGGTCTTGGGGATCAAGGAAAACCACGCCCGAGCGTGTGATCTGACAACCTTTATGTCCCCTTATAGGATTATGTTCTCTGATGGCGAACACGTGGCTTAGGTTGGTGTTGGTGTAGGCCTGCCCCTGGGACTTCGTGTTATAAAGTTGTCAATATGTTAACTTGCCACTAGTGGTCGGAATGTACTTTACTGGAAAGTGATTGACTTCTTTATTGGTGCTCGGAGTTGCCTTTTCTAGTTCTATTGGGGGCTTTGGTCTTCCCTTCCTTCTTTGGCCCTTGGTTTTCTTTCCCTTCTTGCCTTGATTTTCCTTTCATTCTTTGGGCCTTGGTCTTTCTTTCCTTCTTTGGATTGTTTTTTAGCCTTTACTGTGCCTTTCTTAGCATATACTATTTGAGGAGTAAAAAATGATGATGCATTAACATTTTATATATTTTTGAATGTCATAACACCAAGCGGTGATTTTTTTTTTTTTTTTTTTTTTTTTTACTTATTATGCCTACTCACCCTTTTCCCAATAAAATTCTATAAAAGAGAATTACCCCTTTTTTGTATTTAGTTACTATACATATTTGTGGTGAATATTTTACTTAATTATGTATTCAAAGAGTACCACATTTTTCATATTTCATTTGTATCATCTTTCTAATAGAGGTAGGGTCCACCAATATCCGTGAGTCCCTTTTTATTAGGGATGATACAAATATGATATGAAAAATACGGTAAAGGCAACAATTTTTATTTTGAATACCAGAAATACTACTCTTACCACATTTTTCATACTCGTACAACTTTTTAAAAATATATGAGACACACATGACACACCCCGACCGAGATCGGAGCGTGCTGGCCGTCACACGAAGGTGACGTAGCCATGTGCACGTGCGGAAGCTAATAAGGTAGTAATATAACAGTACGAATAAATTAAAACTAGCATACAAAGCAATAAAACAAGTGCTAGTAAGTGCGAGACAATTTCAGAGCAGGTCTACAGCAGTCCAAAAGAAGATGCGACAAAAGTACACCCGAAGGTGACCCTACGCTGGTGAGTATCTGTCAGGGATAGCCGGGCGAATCCTCCGGGAAACCACCGAAACTGCTAATCAACTAGAACCTGGAGGGGCGCAAAACAAAAGCGTGAGTGGGCAAAAACAAAGCTCTTTGAAAACCATTTACGAAATACATTCTAACCCCTCGCTGTAAAACCTGTATACTTCCCAGAAAATAGACATATATGCGTATATAAAGATATGCCATTCATGCTCAAGAATATACCATGTCAAAGCCTCATAATGAATGCAAGTGCTCAGGTATAAATCACATCAATAATATAATATCTGGCAGCCGGAGTCACCTAACGTGACCTGTACGGCTGTATATAGAGCTCCAATCTCAACTCAATAACTGAACCTGCCCACGAGTCGGAACCACCTAAAGTGGTCTGTACGACAAGCCTGGGTGTAATACATATGTACGCTCTAGTGCTACGATCACGTGAAGGCTGTGCGAATAATCGCGGGTCACCTACGAGTCGGAACCACCTATTGTGGTCTGTACGACAAGCCTATGCACCTAACTTGGATTCCAAGTTGAGCGTGTGGTGCGAGAGGTGAACGACACGTGAAGGACTGTGCCCTACTCTGGGCGGGAGCACTAACACCGGGGATCAGGTTATGAGCTCTCTAAGCATCTCAAACCACTACTGAAATATATAAACGTGAATACCACTTACCTGGCACTTACCTGTGCGTCCACAGCACCAAATATGCATATGTATATGTATGCCACAAGTAATGCATGCAATGATGCATAAACGATAATAATAAAGTGCATGGCATAACACAATTAACCCTTTTTAAACAATTTCTGGGAAAATACTGTATATAGGTATAAACGGAAATCAAAAGCCCACTCACTGGTATGTAGAAGGGTCGTAGCCCCCCTGCCTCGAATGTGCACGCTCGTCCTCGGGGTATGTGTCACCTATATGCGAGTTAACTATAAAAACGTCAACTTTAAAGCACATAACCAACTTCTCGTAATAACTTCTCATACATTGCTCAAAATGGACAAATGAATATACCAACGCGATCTACACAACCTCACGATCACAACCATAATTTTAAAATAATTTTTGGACTTGCCACGCGCCCCCACGCGCCTGCACAGACACGGACCTACGCGCCCCCCACGCGCGGCCATGTGCCCTGCACGCTGACGGCGTCAAGTGACGCCGTCAGGAATATTCCCTGGAAATGACGGAATATTCCGTTAACCCTGACTGACGCCGTCAACGTCCGTTAGGAATATTCCGTTAAACTCAACGGAATATTCCCCTTCTTCCCCGGCCAGTCCCCCTCACCGGCGCCGTCGCCGGAAACCTGCAACTCGCCCTAACTCTCTCGTTTTTCCACCTTTTTTCACGTTTCTTGCACCAAAATCAACCCTAAAGCTAATAGAACACAACCCTACAAGTTTTAAGGCCTAAAACTACGAGGAAATACCTGTCCACGAAAACAAAAACCGGCCAACTTCGTACAGGACGATCCCGACGTCCAAATTTGTCCAACGAAGTACTCCGAGGCTCCTCGTGACACCACCAAGCTACCTACGAGCTTAGAAATCCCAAAAACTCAATGAATAACCTTTGCATGAATAGTGCTCAATTCGGCCATTTTCAAAACGACGTGAAAACGAAGGATTTCTCACCTGAAAAGGGTATGGCTGTGCTCGCCTCGACCTCACGAGTTCAATGGTGTAGCTGGTTTCTACGATCTGTGAAGATTTGGTGGGTTGTGTGGTTTGTCCGTACGTTTACAGAAGGAGAAAGAGGAATGGAGCTCGGGGGAGGAGGAGACAGAGAAGAGACAGTGACAGAGGGTGAGTGATAGAGATAGGGTGTGTGTGTGTGTGGTCCAGCTTTGGTCAACACCACACAAAACAATCCACAACGTGACAAACACGAACTAGGGGCAAAGTAGTAAATTCACACGTGCGTTTCGGTATTTTCGGGACGGGATGTCACACACATGCGTTGTGAGTTGTAATTCATTAAAAAATAATATAAATATGGTATGAAGAATGTAAACCGTGTACCATTCCTCATCTAAAATAGGTTTCTAAAATAAAAAAAGGTAATATCTTATATAGAATTTTATCTGGAAATCTTAGCTTTTAAGACCATCTCCAATAGTTGGGCTAAAAGCCAAATATTTTAGCCCAAAAAATTTAGCTTTTAGCCTAGAAACAACTTTTCTACTTCAACCGTTCTGGCCTAAAATTTTAGCCCGAGATTATTAAAGAATGAACTTAGGCTATTTTTTTCTTAAATTAATTTTTTTAAAAAAAAATAAATATGTAGACTATCGTAAATTAATTTTATGAACATTTGAATCATAAAAAATTTAAATTCCGATAAATATTGAAAAATTACTAAATTTCCCATAAAGCAAGCCTTCAACTTTTACCAATCTTTCAACCCTGTGATAACTTTTAATTCACCAACCTTTCAACACCAAATTTTCAATTCACCAACTGTTCAACACCAAACTTTCAACTTCCACCAACCATTCAACACCAAACTTTCAGAAATCATCCTCTATATAAACATATGTCCAATATTTGTTGATCACACAACCTTTCAACCTTCAATCATCCTCTATATTCACCAATATTTCAACTTTCAAAGAGTTTTTGTTTCCTAAAAATCCTCAATATCTTATCAATGGGTGATAGAAGAAGGCGTAGTATGGACAATGCAGATGGCACAATACCAAGCAAGGATGGAGATTGAGGATGCAGAATTGTTCAACGCCGAAGTTGAACTTATCAACTCGTTTATGCAATCTGAGCACCATGGCGAATCTAGCCATCGTGGTTCTATCACGGGGCGTTCATATGTGCAGTGTGATAGAGAAGAGTGCCATGATCGAATGATGAAAGATTATTTCATCGAGCGTCCGAGATTTCCTACTCATGATTTTCGGAGGCGGTTTCGGATGAGGAGAGAGCTTTTTGAAAGCATCTTGAATGCAGTTATCAATCATGACCACTACTTTGAACGGAGGGTAGATGCCACAGGCCAACAAGGTCTATCACCTCATCAGAAGCTCACATCTAATTTTCCTATGCTAGCTAATGGATGCTCTGCAGACTCAACTGACAAGTATTGCCGACTTGCAGAAAGTACTGCTATTGAGAACCTGAAGCGCTTCTGTAAGGCAATTGAAGGCATATATGGAGCCACATACCTCCGCAACCCAAATCGTGCAGACTTAAAGAGGCTTCTACGCAAGGCAGAAAAAAGAGGCTTCCCTGGTATGATAGGAAGTCTAGATTGTATGCATTGGGAGTGGAAGAATTGTCCTACTGCTTGGGCTGGCCAATTCAAGGGCCGTCATGACAAGCCAACCATCGTGCTCGAGGCTGTGGCATCTTACGACTCATGGATTTGGACATGCTTTCTTCGGCGCTGCTGGATCAAACAACGATATCAACGTTCTTTGGTCTTCTCCTTTATTCGATAATGTTGTCAATGGATGGGCACCAGAATTTCGATACAAGGTAAATGGTAATAGGTATGAGCTAGGTTACTACCTAACTGATGGTATTTATCCTAGTTGGTCTACTTTTGTCAAAAGTTTTTCTTATCCCGATAGTGCAAAGAAGAATTCAAGCTCCTCAATGTCATGACACACTCCGTAAAGATTTGGTTGAGCATGTATGGCGCCGAGAAGGTGAACGTTGATGATGTTGGTTATGCATTTATGTATGCGCTCTGCGTGGGGCGCGTTGGCGAGTGAAAGGGCCGAGACTGGCCCAAAGGCCAGCGAGTGTCGCGCGGGGGTTGGGGGGGGGGGAATTCTGGGGGGTATTTGGCCTAACTTTAACATTTGGCATTTAGCCCAATGTTTTAGCATGGGTTGGAGATGGTTTTGGGGGAAAATTTAGTGGGTAATTTAACATTTAGCCCACCATTGGAGGTGGACTAAGTAAGAGAGAGAGAGTTTGAGAGAGAGAGTGTGTTTGACAGAGTGACAAACACTCTCAAAACTGGCGCAGAGGGGATATATGATAAGTACAGTAACGTATACCTCGGTCCGCCCAATTATATATAATATCTCTCTGCCCCTCCGCTTATTCCCATTACCATTTATCAGCAGCGTGAGGAACGAGCTCTCTTAGAGAGAGAGAGAGAGAGAGAGAGAGAGAGAGTTTTCAGTCCTCTGTTTCCATCACTGGCTCTGTTTCTTCTCTGTTTTGCAGGTAAATCTTTGTGTGTTTTTTGTTACCTTTACCTCTGAAAAGGGTTAATCTTTTGCTTCATTTATGCCTGCTTTTCATCCCCTTCACCTTCTTCTTTCTACCCTCTTGAATTTTACTGGGTTATGGCTACTTTACTGTTTTTGTTCTGTGAGAACCCTAATTTTGCCATATTTTGCATGTTCTTAAATCTGGATGAAAAATGATTTCCGAGCTGTCATAAAAAAACCCATATCTTTTAACCCGATTTTACTAGAGAAACGAGTCTTTTTTTTTTTTTTTTTTACCCGAAATATTGATGCTTTTATGTGATTTTGCTGCACCTAGAGTATATTTTTGTTGATGTAGAGCCTTGTATTTTTCAGAGAAATATCAAATTTTTGCAAGGATTGAACCATTTTTTTTTATAATCTAGCATGGACCATGACTGTTTTTCTAAATTGTTATATGTATAATTTTTGTTTCCTTGGCCTATTCGAAGGTTGAAGAGAAGAAGAAGCCGTTGCGATGACGTTTTCTCTCAGTAAGGACCTTATCTTATTGATCATGCAGTTACTTGATGAGGAAAATTTCCAAGAAGCTCGTCATAAGTAATTTACTGATCTGAATTACCGTGTCTTCATATTTGTAAATGTTTTTGCAGCTCATGCTTTTCTCTAAAATTAATTAATTTTTTTAATTTTAATTATAGGCTTGAGCAAGAATCTGGACTGTACTTCAATATGAAGTATTTTGAGGAATTGGTGCTCGATGGGAAGTGGGATGAGGTCGAGCGGTATCTCTTGGGGTTCACGAAAATAGATGACAACCGATACTCAATGAAGGTCTTCTTTGAAATTCGTAAGCAGAAGTACCTTGAGGCATTGGATAAGTAAGCATTTGAATCGTTAAGATTTACGCTTTGTTTATAAACAGCTGCACTGCCTTGTTTTTTTTCCTTCTTTTTCTTGAATTTGTTATGACATTGTATCTGGTTTAATCATTTGGAATTCATCAGGCAAGATAGAGCCACAGCAGTGGATATCCTAGTTAAGGATCTGAAGATGTTCGCGGGTTTTAATGAAGAATTGTTCAAGGAAATCACTCAACTCCTCACATTAAATAATTTTAGGTATGTGTTCTGCACAAATTTTGTGAGCCTCGAGTTGCTTGTAGTGTGATTCTCTCAACTGGCATTATGGAATTGATTGGGGTTATGCAGGGAAAACGCTCAACTCGCTAGTTACAGAGATGCAAAAACTGCGAGAACAATTATGGTCATGGAACTTAAGAAGCTCATTGAGGCCAATCCTCTTTTCCGTGATAAAACACAGTTTCCTCACTTAAGACATTCAAGGTTGTAGATTCTCATTAACCAAAGGTACAATAGTAGTACGCCATAAGAAAAATGAGAGAATTTGTGTTTCCTTCAAGTGGGCGGATTTTTTTTCCTGTGATTTGTTTTATGGAATTTGGTTTGTGTACGGCCAGAAAAAGAAAAAGGTTCTCATATATCCAGCTTCCAGTTTGATGTTTTCGATCATTTACCAGTTCTTTTTTTTTTATTTTTATATTTTTAAATTGTAATTGAACTGAATTCAGAATGAATATGGCAGCTTGAATTGGCAGCATTCCCTTTGTCCAAATCCTAGACAGAATCCTGATATAAGCACCCTATTTGTGGATCACTCCTGCAAGAATTCCAATGATTCACTCGCTCAATTAACCGCAAACAGTCAGCTGATGGGTTCTGTACCGAAAGTTGTTGGTATTCTTCCTGTGGATGCAAATGGGGTACTGCCCTTAGACTACTTCATTCATGATTTTGCTTCAGAGTACTGAATTTTTGAACTGAAAAATAGTTTTTATTTATCATTTGAATTTCTCCTGTCAGCCCTTCCAACAACAACCAGCACTGGTTCACCCACCTTTATCCACATGGATATCTATTCCCCCAAACTATCCAGCTGCTTCGAGAGGAGGTAATGGTTTTGGTGGCCTAACAAATCCAGGTAGTTTTTCTTTTTTATTTATAAGTTTTTTCTCTAAGGCTCGGAGTAATGGCCACTATTATATATGCTTTTTGGAGAAGGAAAAAGCTTGTACTGTCATTTCTGATGATATTCTATTTTCTGGTCTAGCTTCATCGGTGAGGGGTCCTGGGGATTCTGATGATTTGTTCAAAACGCGATTAAACAAGGTTCCAGAAACGGTAAGCTTAAAGTCCGTCTACATGATGAGCACAGAATTTGAATTTGGGCCATACTTGTTTATACACTCTGTAGGGTATGTTGCAAGGGATCAATCTAGGACAAAGTAGCACCTCATTCAGTGCAGCAGATTTCCCAAAGACTGTTGCTCGGACCTTGAATCTGGGGTCAGTTCCCACAAGCATGGACTTCCATCCTGTTCAGCATACACTATTTCTAGGTTGGTTTCTTTGAGCTTTCCTTTAATTGATGTTGTTGGAACACAAGACGATCAATTTTTCAATCCAAAGAGAAAAAAATATTACTTTTTAGATTTAAGCAGTAAGTTGACAAGTGTGTTTTTGTACCAGTCGGAACTAACGTGGGGGATATAAGTTTGTGGGAAGTTAGTTCTAGGGAGAAATTGCTGTCAAGAAGTTTTCAGGTATGGGATATCGGAGCGAGTTCAATGATGCTAAAGGTATGTTCCCTTATCAACCGAGTCATAATACAGACGACATTTGCATTTTGTCACTGGAATCATCTTAACCTATTTGTTTCTAATGAAACTCAGGCAACTCTGATCAAGGATCCATGTGTCTCAGTTAAGCGTATAATATGGAGTCCTGAGGGTGCTGTGTTTGGTAAGTTCACGATTGGTTAGTTTGAATACGAAAGATGGTAGCTTTTTCTAGAAAATTTAAATGCAATTGTTCTTTCAAACAGGAGTTGCATATTCTAAACACATTATCCAATTATACGATTATTTTGGCGGGAATGAGATTCACCAGCATTTGGAGGTAGGTTATGCATCTTCTACCTTTCAGTATATTTCATTTTGCGGTTCTCTTTTCTAATACTTCTATCGATTTCTAGATTGATGCTCATGCTGGCAGTGTTAATGATTTGGCGTTCAGCAACCCAGCTAAGCAACTTTGTGTCATAACTTGCGGTGATGATAAGGCCATTAAGGTTGGCTTTGAAGAAGTGGTGATGTAATAGGTCGTAGAAAACACGATAAACTTATACACCGATTTGTGATTTATAGGTGTGGAATGCAATTACTGGGTCAAAGTTGTACACTTTCGAAGGTCATGATGCTCCCGTGCATTCTGTGTGTCCTCATAACAAGCAAAATGTCCATGTAAGGCTTCGCTTTATCGTATTTTCTTTTCCTTGATTTGTCCCACTTCATTTGAATTCTATGAATGATTTACCTGTTTGTTTTGAAATTCAGCTTTTGCTTTCGTGTTTTAGTTTATCTTTTCAACATCAGTAAATGGAAAAATAAAAGCGTGGTTATACGACAATCTGGGATACCGGGTGGATTACGATGATCCTGGTCACTCATGCACAACAATGGCCTATAGTGCAGATGGTAAAAGGTTGGTATACCAGTCCATTCTAATAGTATTGCAGCCTTCACCTATATTTTGGGCAACAGGAAAATTCAATCTTTACTTTGAACTCAATGCAGGCTATTTTCTTGTGGGACAAGCAAAGATGGAGAGTCTAATGTTGTGGAATGGAATGAAAATGATGGTGTAATAAAGAGGAATTACATAGGATTTCAGAAACAATCTTCGGGTGTTGTTCAGTTTGATACAAGCAAGAATAAGTATTTGGCTGTTGGAGATGACTATGCAATCAAAGTTTGGGATATGGATAAGGCCAATATTTTGACTACTATTGATGCTGAAGGCGGTCTACCAGTAAGTTTCCTTTAAAATTTTCATCAATAATGCGTACTTATCTTCTAACGGACTTGTGGCTGTACTAAAACATTAATGTTTTCCTTTTGAAGGCTAGTCCTTGCATTCGCTTCAACAAGGAGGGCTCTTTATTGGCTGTTTCTGCAAACGACTGCAGAGTCAAAATTTTAGCTACGATGGATGGTCTTCGGCTGATGCTCACTATTGAAAGTCACTCGATTATTGCTTCAAGAAATGGACCTGAGACTGAAAAAAAGGTCAGCTTATCAAAATTTCTAAGCTGTGTATAAGGTGCAAACTTTCAAGGATTGCAACTGTATTTAATATGATGCTGGTTGCATCATGTTTTCCTTGTGCAATTTCGTACCACACAATCATGAACAATGTTTTGGCTTCATCCTTCTCAATTCTAAATTTTCAATTACAGTAATCTTAATATTTAGTTATAGTCTACAATAAATTGAGCATGTTTTGACAGAGTGGTAGCATCAGAAACCTCGAGGAGGTGAAACCAACCAGATTACCGGAAGAAGTGAACACAACAAGGATCTGGAATCTCACTCAGATCAGTGAAACTTCTCAGCTTCGGACATTGAGGCTCACGGCTTTAATGAAAACAGACAAGGTTGGATGTCTTTTCTGTATATATCTTTTGGCATT